CGTATTATTGAACAGATCGCATTCTTCTTTTACTACCCAAGTTTTTTCTCAAAGAGTAAATGTTTATTCATTTATGCCAGCAGGCCATTGAAAATAGTCCTTTACCTGAAAAATTAGCTCGAGACTAACTAATGAACTTGGTCTCTGATCATAGCGAAAGGCATAAAGAAATAATCGAGAACGTAAGAACTACAAGTATAATAAAATAATACTATCAAAAGAGGATTAAGAACAAATGTAGGTTATTATATTTTCATCATGAAATACTGTGCGGAAGGCTTAGAATCTTGAGTTCTTAGTTCATTATAAATTATGACTTTGTATGTGATCACATATTTACTACATACACCTAAACTTAATCGATGTTTTTATACTCTCGCAACCTGTTGCTACAGAGTATAATAGTTTTGTTCACCTAACGGTTGTTTGTATCACCTAAAACTAATCGAGTTAGATATAGGGTTATATATATATAAATGATCAGGATGAACAGACGAGAGACGGTCCGTCCATCCGTCCGCGCAAGCTCTAACTTGAGTAAAAATTGAGATATCTTTATGATACTTGGTAGGCATGTTTCTTGGTACCGTGAGACGGTTGGTATTGTAGGTGGGCGTAATCGGAACACTGCCACGCCCACAAAACGCCATTAATCAAAAACAAATAAATTTCCATAACTAAGCTTCACAATAAGATTTAAGACTTGTTTTTGGTACACATGATCTGCAGGTAAAATTTTTTTTAAGTGGGCGTGGTCCCGCCCCTAATAGGTTTAATGTACATATCTCCTAAACCGCTAATGCCACAGTGTGAAAATAGTTGAAATCGGGTGGCAACTCTGCCCACTCCCCATATAACGGTACTGTTAAAAAATACTAAAAGCGTGATAAACCAAGCACTAAATACGCCAGAGGCATTAAATTTTATCTCTGGGATGGTATGAGAGGACTTTATAGGAACCGCGTTCAAACTTTGTAAGTGGGCGTGGCACCGCCCATTTTTAGGTGAAAACCCATATCTTGGGATCTGCTTAACCGATTTAAACCAAATTCGGTACATAACATTCTGGGTGAAATCGGACTACAACCACGCCTATTTCCCATATAACACCATTTTCAATTCCATATGATTCTTTCACTTTTCACTATGCATATCAAGCAACAATGATTATATCGGGGTAAAACTTTGCGTGAATAATACGTTTAAAGTCCTTGTGGCCAAAAATTGTCTAAACCGAACTGTTCGAGCCCTTAAGTACCAAATACGTGGACCCCAGAGCCTATAGTTGACCTTCTACCGAAAATATCAGTCAATCCACAAAGAAATCTCAAACAAATATATCACTTGACTTTGCGAGAGTATAAAATGTCGGTTACATCCGAACTTAGCCCTTCCTTACTTGTTTATCTAAATATTTGTTAATCTGAGATATATTTTTTAAGCTTAAGGTTATACAATATTGAATGTTTAAATTTAATGAGGCTTAAGGTGTGATTAGCATAAAAAACTCAGTCTAGAAACAATTACCTGTTGCTTAGTTGTTTTGCTGAAATTTGATGCAGAAACATATGGCACTTGGCTCTAAGTATACTAATTATTTTAAGTCAAAAATTTCTCTGAAGACAATACACGGATCAATTGCCTGTGAAATGCCACAATTTATGAGAGCAATTTCTCGACTCAGCTCGTTACGTTGATCATTCATATATCTGTATAAAATATAGCGTATCCAACGTTTGATTTTGGGTATTACAAACGTCGTGGTAAACTTAATATACCCTGTTCAGGTTATAACAACGGTACTTTTTTCTGCGATTTTCCCCTCGCTCTATGCATTGTAAACTTTGTAACAGAACTTATGGCAAGACTAAGTTGTCGTTTCCATATTTTTTTAAGCTTTCAACCTAATAAGGTAATTAGGGATTTGAACTTCGCAGCTAATACTCTCGAACATAGAAAAGAAAGCAAGCAGACTCTGTGAAGAAAGACAAAATTAATTTAAAAAATGTGAAAAAGAGAAAGAAATGTGTAAGCAGCGAGGCCGCAAAGCATAGGAATGTTGCCGGGAAAATATAAATATGTATGTGCAAATAAGCAAATAAATATATAAAGGAAAAATAAATATAAAAAATACATCCGACGAAGGAAATTGTATGTATTGTTTGTGATTCTGTATTCTTTTTATTATATTCCATACAATTAAGTAATATTTTTTATTAAGAATGTCACAAGAACAAACTCTTCAAAGTATTACGACCGTCATAAGGCAGCATCATTAGTCAACATTACAATGAAGAAGATAAGTGAAGTGATAGGGGTGATGCGTGAGATAGTATAACCTTATGCTGTATATCCCTTTACGCACTTAGGTTTTGATAAAGCATTGGAGTGTTGTTTTGAACGGCGTTTATAGATTTGTGTTTTAGAAAAAACTAATCTGAGTTGAGGTTAAGCCCATTTATACAGTCTGTATGACAAATCTATGGTAACAAAACCGGTTAATTTATCGTTCGAGGTTTTATGTATACAAGAATTTGATTGCCTTTGCGCGCATTGTTACTAGCCAGATCTTTCTTTAGCTTTCAAATTGGCTTTATAAGCGCGCCAAATGCCAAATGCGAGCGGCAACATGCAGTTCGTTCACTACAAGTATTTACATAAGTATATACATATATATATAAGTATGTATATACAAATAGTTAGTGTTAATGAAGTAGTGCCCTTTCACGAGCCATACATATATACTATATACCAAACAAACGCACTAGAAAAAAAAGCTACAGTTCTCTACCACAAAATTTTTTCCAACAGTCGCTGCCAGCTGCCGCTTTTGTGCTGACTGTCTGCCGATTGCATTTGCTCAGTCAAAAACGTGCCAAAATGACAAATTACCGAGTGTTAACTTTGCGTTAATTTTGGCGTATATCAATGCAGGCTGGCCGCAGTATATATTGGCAAATGCTTTGAAATGTCGCTCATACGCCGTGACAGCTGGCATTGTTACATTTCATTCGCGAATCATTCACGCCATTAGCCCGCATTCATTGGTGTTAGATGCGGCGGGATGGAAATGCCTGCAGTATTGACAGGGTGCTGGTGACAGCCTAGGGCCCAAGAGTAGGCTATGCTGGGCATACAAACGCGGCTAAGCACCAAAACACACACCTTATTTGTGTATATGGTACAACACGAAGTTACAACACTTAATTTTGTTTTTTGCATTTTTTGTTGTTGTTGTATGTGCCACAGTGGTGATTTACTGCCGTTAGGTTTGATTGCAGACACATGCATGCGTTTTTTTGAAACTGAAAAAAAATTATTGTACTTGGATACAAAAATCAAAAAACTACAATTTTGACAAATGGTGACAGTTCGGGAGTGAATTTTTTTTTTGAAATAGTTTGATTTCCACTATTTATGGCTTGGTGAGCAACAAAAATAATTTTTTTTTGCATGATTACTTTACGTTACCATAATACGTTGGATGGGTTGTGACAACCTGTTGGAGAGGAGTCTACACACTAGCAAAGAAATGAACATCTTCAAAGTCGACAATAGAGACCAAACTATAACAGTTGAGAACATATTCGAAGCTGGTTTGGACCTACCGAGGCATTTTTAAGTATAAAAAATAGAGGTTATTTTTAACATTGTCACACTCTAAGAAGTAGTTTGGCATTACATTCGGATTAGTGAAATAAAATAAGTTATACCTTGAACTTTGGGCAAATCTATCGCTTCGACAGTAGTTTAAAATATTACAACCTTATTCAGAACTAGTTCTTCATTAAACATAAATATGAAGAAGGTAAACTGATTAAGTTTTAAAGTACTTAAGACTTCGCCCTAGACCTGTTATTATTAAATAAAAAAACCTTAAAGGCTAGTTATACTACAATACCTTAGGACTTATAGAGATAATTTGAGTTTATCTTAAGACGAAATATTTTTTCTTTTCTAATGTACTGGTATGATATTGACGCACTCCTGTTAACTTGTTTTAATTTTCGGTTTTTCAGTGATAAATTTGAGCATGTAATCTCTAAGGCTAGTGGATCGCTTTGCACCAAATGATGAGAAGTGATTGTAGTGATAGGATGAATCCTTTTCAAGGTTGGGTCAGCGATAATTTATTAAAGGCTTGTTCGAAAGTATGTTTCTTATTGGTAAGGTTTGTTCAGATCAGTCTTTTCGATATAAATAAAATACACAAATAACATAAACAACAATAGTTTTTGAAATTGCAATTTTTGAAAAAAATGTCCTTCTCAAGTACAATATTCTTAGAAAATTTTATTCCGGTAAAATTTTCGTGAAGACTCTTACGAGTCCGGTAAAGAATTCTGCATTCTTGAATATTTATATTTCGAAAATACAAAAGACTATATTTTTTGTAGAAGCTTATGATCTTGGGAGGAATCATATTATTTTGATGACTTCTATTGGATATGTTAATCACTAGTTTGATTCCTTTGCTCTTACAAGTTTACACGATTGCACGAAATGCAAAAGTCTAACTAAAATATGCAAGGGCACGAGAACACCCAATTGCAGAAGCAGAAATATCAGCGAAATTTATGTGTGCATATGTAAAAGACAGCTGACGCAGGGTTGCACTTAATTTGCCGACATCATTGCTGAAAATCAACTCATGTTTTGGTGTAGGATATTTTGTTGTTAGCCATTGTATTTTCTCAAGTGTTTGGTTATTGTACCATTGCACGCATCGGCAAACTATGCAATCTGTGCAACGGGCAAAGGCTTTTGTAAGAACGAGTGGATTTCCCTATTGTATGTATGTGCCTAAGTTTGGTTCTTAATTTTTAGTGTAAGTGCCCATTTATTAATATATCATTCATAGCTCTTCATTGTCGTACTCAGCCAGCTTATGTATTTTTTTACTCAGAGAACGCCGCTGCATAAAAAACTCCGCGATTTCTAATATTGTCTCATTTACGCTCGATTTATTTACAATGATGTCAACTACTATTTAAACTTACCGCTGTCCATCCACCGCGAATTGCTCATTCTGCAAATACAATTTTATATATGGCTGACGCGTGTGCAATTTGTAACGACAATTCAGTGCGCGTGGATAAAGGCCAGGATATGCAGGCGATTGCACATAACACGTTTGTAAGCGGCAATCGCGATATTCGCGCTCGCAGTAGGAGCTGCAAAAGAGAGAAAGCAGATAATGTATTTAATATATATAACTATACGTTGTCATGTCAATGTCAAAATAAATGAGGCGTTAGTATAAAAGGTAAAAAGTTTAACAAAATACACTCAACTTGAATAAGTGAAAAAAGGTAGATTAATGGAAAAAAATAAAGAAAGCGCTTAAAGGGAATACACACAACAAAAGACGAGCTAAAAGTGCGGAAAAAGCCTGCGTTGGCGCCACGAAATGATTTCAAGCGCTCGGAATAATGCGAAAATGGTATGCGAGTCGGCGCTCAACAAAATGAAGAACAATTTCGGATAAAGTGATTAAGGTAAGCAGTAAAGTGTTGCATACATTTAGGCGTAAGCACGTTTTCCTCAATTTCGCTTTGGACTTGTTTTACAGCACATGAAAAAGCCATTTCGCTTGAAAGAGCATAATTTGCGAAACTTTTAAACGAACACTTTCAACAAAAGATTTTAATGTCGGTGAAAATGTAAAATTCATAAATAATATGTGAAGTACTTAGAGTACGGGAAGGAAATTCGAGAAAATATAACCATACTATATATAGAGACACTTATACATATAAAGATTATTTTTCAGAACGCTTTCAAATTATAAAGAGAAAGATAATGTTAATGATACGATTGCTTTTCCTACAATTATATTGTAAAAATAATATTTTTGTTTCCTATACAAATGTAAATAATGCGCCGAAATGGATAAGATTAATTTAAACTGTTTATCTGTAGGCGTATTTAATTAAATTAATCGGAATATATAAATAATATATAATTTCTTTTAAACATAATACTTTTTTTTTAATAAACGAATTTTTTTAAACAATAATATAATATTCTTTTGTCAGTAGTCAGGAAACACTAAGTTAGATCTTTATTTATATTCTGATGAATATATATGAGTGAACTTTTGAACTTTTTTTTAAATATTTCAATGTTTTACCAACCACTTGACTCAAAAATAACTAAACTGTATTAAACATATAACATTCTACAAACATTTGGGTGTCGTTGTATAATAGTTTTATTCACTCAACGGTTTTTTGTATCACCTAAAACTAATCGAGTTACATATAGAGTTATATATATATAAATGATCAAGGTGAAGACGCGGGTTGAAATCCGGGTAACTGTATGTCCGTTCGTCCGTCTGTGCAAGCTTTTATTTGAGTAAAAATTGAGATATCTTCATAAAATTTGCTAAACATGTTTTGTGATACCGTAAAACGGTTGGTATTGCAGATGGGCGTAATCCGACCACTGCCACGCCCACAAATCGCCATTAATTCCAAAAAAATAAATTGCCATAGCTAAGCTCCACAATAATATACAATACTGTCATTTGTTATTGGATCATATTGGAGAGGGGCATCTGCAGTTTAAAATTGTTTAAAAAATTGGGCGTGGTCCCGCTTCTAATAGGTTTAGTGTGCATATATTTTTAACCGCTAACGCGATACTTGTAAGAACAAAAATCACTGAGAACAAATGTTTTTAGCACCTCTATCGACAGTTTGAAAATAGGTTTAATCAGGTGACAACCCCGTCTACTCCCTACATAACGGTATTGTTAAAAACTACTAAATGCAATGCAAATCAAGCAACAATGTTTGTATCGGGGGCCTTGTTTAAAGTATGCCACTTTGTGACTAAAAATTGTCTAAATCGAACCAAAACTGTTCAAGTCAAAAAAATGTTTTTTTCTGCTTTTTAAAAATTTAAAAAATAAAATGAAAATAAAATAATAATCACTTAAATAACATTTCGTAACATTTTTACTTCTTGCTGAGAAACTATGGTTAGCATAATGGGATGAATATTAATTAATAATGGGTTTTTTTAACAAAGAAAATTTATGAAAGTAACAAAAAATACATCGCACTATACAAAAAGTAATATAGTAATAAATCAATTATTGTCAAGCGCTCGAAACAAACATATTATATTACACACACGGATATACATACACATACTCGTATACGAGTACCATCTTCTATATTCCCCTCTTTTTTACGACTTCTATTCGTTTTCTTTTATTGTCAGAAATTGTCGGAAAAGTAGTGATTAGTTTGCGAATACGAAATTTATGCATGCCTGCAGCCAAGTAAAGAAAACCTATTTAATAACCTTTATCATGTCATCGTAAGGAAGAAAATACAAACGCAACTGTGTGTGTGTATATTAACACTCGCAATCAAGCCGCCAGTTGTTGTCTGGTTTACTTGGAAATGATTTCCTTCTTTGCTCAAAGAAATCATTGGAAATGAGTGAGATGAGTTGCTACAACGGCAACTGACGTAGAAAATCGATATTTATATTAAGATAAGTATAAACTGATGGAAGGCAAATTCATTGTTGCTTATCAACTCGAATGGTAATTGAATTTTATTTGAATTGCTGGAGAGAAATAACTACCTATATAGAAATGTATATGAATGCAAAGTTTGATTAGCTTGAATACAGTGAAGTACACGCCGGACAATTTGAGATATGTGCGTATGGCTGTATGGATATATCTATATATGTGTCTATACTTTCATAAGGAAGCAGGTAAGTTAGGCAGAATTGTAAAATGATTATGGTTGACGATATACTGCTTAGGCAGTGGAAATAAACAGAGATGGAAATTGAAGAACGAAGCAAAAGGAAATATGAAAACATATTTCGAAAATATAGTCTTTTAAAAAAAGAAAGTCTGCTAAAGAATAGTTTTAATTATAATGTTGTATTGTGAAATGTTTCTGTTTAATTTTAGTTTAAGACTACGAAAACCTTTTTGTATTATTTATTGTAGTTACCACAAAAAAATCTTAAATGTATTAAATAGATTTAAATTATTAAAAGAAGGTCCAACAGGCTCTTGAAGAACAACTTATAGTTACGAAAAAAAGAAACTTCAACAGGCTCTTGAAGAACAACTTATAGTTACGAAAAAGAGAAACGTATGTACATATATAAAACTACGGTAACTTACAGCTGGCTTGCGATTAAGCATAAATCTGGATCCATGTTTTCCTATTCACGCTTAACATTCAAGGCAAATTCTAAACTGAACCTACACTAAATGCTTATGCTCCCAAAGAAGCTAATAATCAGAAAGTAAAAATAATTTCTCTTTCTTTTATACTTTAGCTCCAAAGTTTCTTATCTAGCAAAGCTAATAACTAGTGTTGTCCAACAATAACGTCTCTGTCTACTGGTAATCGTATAAACTTGCTGTAGATCGCAAAGGATATCAAAGGCATTTACATCTGCTATAGCATAAAATACTAATATAATAAAAAGAAAAATACTTTATATATTTAGCTTAAATCTATTGCATAAATCTGCCATATTACACAGTCAGTTAAATGAAATAATTCTAAGTAACGTGATAGTTTTATGTGATAGTTTTAAGTTGATAAATTCTAAAAATTTAAGATTTATTTTATGGACTAGAAGTGCTTCTACAAAGGTTTGCGAGGTGCTTTCAGATATTAAGGACTTGCAACTTTTTTTTTGAAGGTGGTAAGAACTTCACGCTGCTGGCTTAAAGACCCGAAAACCATAAATTATAGTTGAAGGAACTAAGTAGGTCGTTGAAACTGAAGTTCAAAGAAGAAAGGAGCTTTTGGGTACTTTTTTTTAATCTTAACGAAGCCCCAATTTTTCTATTCTAGGCGATTTTTAAACTCTAAAACTTCTAATTTTGTTGACTTTGTTCTCTGCTGAGTTTAATTTTTAACACTTGTTATGTTTTTCGGATATATTGGGACTTTCATAGCAATATCCTTCGAGCAATATAAAAACTGGACCTCTCTCATCATTATTGTTTAATATTAATTGTAAGAACAAGACGTTACTTCGTAACACAAAATATTTTTCAACCTACAAAGGCAAATTCCCTTCTATTATTTTTACTTCAGTTATTTCATCGCTCCGTTATTCTTCTGCTTCATCGACTACACCAGCTTCACCAACACGTTTGGCTGCGCATCGTCGCGCTTAGGAAAATATGATTACGGCAGCGGAAAGCACTTAAGTTACGCATAATAATAATAATAAAATTAAATTATTGCCTCGCAGCAGCATCAAAAGAGGCACAGTCGAGCGCCAGAAGCCATTGAGGGTTGCTGCAAAAGGTCACAGCACGCAAACAGACGGACGGACAGTAGGCAGGCAAGCAACTGAACCGCTGCTTAATATGAAGACGCCAGCAGTCAGCATACACAGTTATTTGTTGTGGCAACGCTGCGGCACACATTGAAGCATTGCCAGTCACTAACTGCTTATTGTGTGGTGAAAGGCAACACACCGGTGGCGTATACGTAACATTTAATGGCGAAACGCAATACTTGACTAAACAGCGGCGCAGGTGTCTGTACGAGTAGATGTGTATACAAATTAAGCAAATATAATTTTCACAGATGTCGTTTGTATATATGTGAATGGCACTTACCCTTGCACCACTTCCCCGCGACGATTGGGATACAGTTCCGGATGTTGGCCATAACGTAAATAAACTTCCGTTTGTTGTTCAGCACGCGAATCAAATGTGAAATATGTCTGTAAAAAGGGAATGGAAAAAGAGCAGATATAAAATGAAATATGCATATAGATCGACATTTTATTATACGAAATACATTTGTATGTGTGGTTGTGCAGCTATTTGCAATTGAGTAGTAAAAGTTTATCGAACACAGCTGCTTTGTATAGCTTACAAGCTAATATAATAAATGTTTATATATGTAAGCGCTTATATATACTAATGTGTATGCTATGTTTTATATTTTATTCAGTTGTATTTTTTTCGATTTCAATAAATTTTTGTTTTTCAATTACAGTTTGCTTTTGCATTTGTTTACATATAATACAAACACCACCTAACCCTGTCTAATTATCTTAATAAAACGTAAATTGAAAATGTTTTGATCACCCCCATAACGCAGCTCTTATGTCTAAACATAAATGTATGCCTCTTTTTATACTCTCGCAACCTGTTGCTACAGAGTATAATAGTTTTGTTCACCTAACGGTTGTTTGTATCACCTAAAACTAATCGAGTTAGATATAGACTTGGTAGACATGTTTCTTGGTACCGTGAGACGGTTGGTATTGCAGATGGGCGTAATCGGACCACTGCCACGCCCACAAAACACCATTAATCAAAAACAAATAACTTGCCATAACTAAGCTCCGAAATAAGATACAAGACTGTTATTTGGTACACAGCATCACATTAGGGAAGGGCATCTGCAGTTAAAAAGTTGTTTTTTAAAGTGGGCGTGGTCCCGCCTCTAAAAGGTTTAATGTGCATATCTCCTAAACCGCTAATGCTATAATATAATAGAAGCAAATGCTTTTAGCACTTCTATTGACGGTGTGAAAATAGTTGAAATCGGGTGGCAGCTCCGCCCGCTCCCCATATAACGGTACTGTTAAAAACTACTAAAAGCGCGATAAATCAAGCACTAAACACGCCAGAGACATTAAATTTTATCTCTGAGATGGTATAAGATGACTTTATAGGAACCGCGTTCAAAATTAGACAGTGGGCGTGGCACAGCCTACTTTTAGGTGAAAACTCATATCTTGAGATCTGCTCAACCGATTTCAACCAAATTCGGTGCATAAGGTTCTTTTCATGTTTCTATGTCATAGTGCGAAAATGGGCGAAATCGGACTACAACCACGCTTACTTCCCATGTAACACCATTTTCAATTCCATCTGATTCTTTCACTTTCCACTATGCAAATCAGGTAACAATGATTATATCGGGGTAAAACTTTGCGTGAATAATGCAATTAAAGTATGCCACCTTGCGGCCAAAAATTGTCTAAATCGAACCAAAACTGTTCAAACCCCTAAGTACTAAATATGCGGTTACATCCGAACTTAGCCCTTCCTTACTTGTTTTATTATACTTTACTGTTCACCAAATGGCGGCTTTACATATGTGTATTTTATATAGACTAAGGCAATTGTTTAACAGTGTCAGTCCGTACCCTTTTAATTGTGTACATAGCAATGGCAATAGTGGGCAAAATAGAAGTGATGGAATCACCATGCATTTCCACAAAATAGAAAAAACAACATAGTGCATTCCACGTGAAGAAAATTTACATATATACATAAAATCTTACTCACAAATATTGCATTCAGAAATTTTCGGGATCCCGAAAAATTAATAGGTGTTTTTCATAAATATCATTAAGAAGTGATTAAAAATCAGATACATAATACCGATTAACAATAAGAAATAATTTCGGTACCCCGAAATTGAACATTGCAATGAGTTTGCAAAATACATTTTCACAAACTGTATAGTACTTAACTGATGATTTTTTCATTTCACAATCAATTATTTAGTATTGGTTTCGATAAAGTGCTATGCCTATGTACTAAGTTCATGAATATAACAACAAAGTGTTGAAAATGCGGACGGATATTTAAAGTATATTGTAACAAGCAATATTGAACAAATATTAAGGGTATACAGAATTTTAATATCCCCTATATAATCAGATTATTAAGTTTTTATATTTCATTTGGTATATATATATATATCATAAAGCAATATATGTATTGAATTTCTATCAACAAATCGTTGTTTAGTCGTAACAAAATCGGTTGAATTCTGAACCGGATGGTTATTGGTTATGAAGGGGATATGCACGACAACTGTGGTGAGTCCGCGCAAACGGCGGTCAAGACAAGAATAATGGTTAGGAAGTTTTTGCTATGTCACATCAAACCTTGGAAGGAAATCAAATACTATGAGCAACTCCCTGACAGCCAAGCTCTTAATTTGGACCTCTTTTGTGAATTGGACCATCTGAAGGAAGTAATCGCCTAGAAACGGCCAGCTTTGGTCAATAAAAAAAGTATGGTGTTCCAACAGGACAACTGGAAGCCACACACATCGTTAGCGACTCGCCGGTAGCTTTGGAGGACTGGTTGGAAGGTACTTATGCATCCACCTTATAACTCGGCTCTAGCATATAGGGATTAATACCTGTTACCATTTTCGGTTTTGCCAAAAAAGACGAGAATTTCTATGAGAGACATTATGACTAATGACATTACCTTCAAAATGACAACAAGTTATCGAATAAAGTGGTGCATATTTGAACGAAATCAGATCATTCTAACTGTGCTAAATATAATGTAGCACTTACTGAAAAAATAATGGTTTTATTTTTACTTAACCTAACATATTTTGAATACATGTAACTATACTTTGTATACATGTATATAGACTTATATTGCTTAATCTCGTATGACAATATTTGATCTCAAAACCATGTGCTTTTACTAAAAGGGTTAAATGCATTTACTAAAAAATTTACTTTTGTAATTTATTATACTAGGTTACTTTATTTTATTTTGTACTTAAAATATATTATTAGAATGATGAGCTAAATCGATTTATCCATGACCGTCTGTCTGTCTGTATATACGCAAACTAGTCACTCACATTTAAGATATCGATCTTAAATTTTCACCCGTCCTAAGAAGCTGCTCATTCGCCAGATCCGCCGTTATCGCACCATTATAGCATATAGTAGTCATATAAACTGAAGTAGTGAAATTTAATCCCGAAATAATCGGGATCCCAATATCAAAAAATTAGTTTATGTATATTGTTAATAAAATTACGGCAGAGTCTGTATAATTCATTATACATTAGAGACAAGTTTTTATTCTTATTTTTTAAGCCATTGTTAGTCTTGGACGGATCTCGAGCATTGTTTTGATGTGTACAATATGAAAAAATTCAACAATTATATACTTAGTTGCACAGTAAATGTTAATTGATGAGGGCGTACCCATAACTAACTGCGATATAGAAAAATGCATTTTAATTACAGTATTTGCATGGTATTTTATTCTCCCCGTATTATCACAACAAATAAATTCAAGATTAACACTTCTCGTTCTTGCTGTGGTGTTTCCCAGAACTAGATTATTTGATGACTAATTCAGGTGTTATGGGAAAAACATACAAGTCCACCTTATTGACATATGTGTGTATCAAAAATGCAGCTCAACGAAACAGCACTTTTGCGCTCTTTCTTGGGAAGTGATGATACAAATGAGGTAACGGTCGGGTGCTGCAAATGGTAAGCAGTAAATTACCAGCGTGGCAAGCAACTAGCATATAACTATATATAGCAAATGAGTGTGTTTGAACATGCAACCGCTAATAAAGGTAACCAAAGAATTGAATATGGGTAATAAGTATTGTATATGTATACGTGGGTTGGTGGGCGAATTTGTTTGCATGTAAATAGTATTATCATATCATTTAATTACGAGTAGCTCAGAATCTGTTATATAAACATTAGGGTGTCCGTTATTTCCCAAATTGATTTTTGACTCTGCAGCGCCCCTAAAATTTTTAGTAAATGCCCTAGAAAAAATTATGAAACTCATATGAGCTCTTAATATTGATAATAAATCGTGCCGCAAAGACGATTCATTTCCCGTTTAAATAACATGGAGTTTTCGTACTTTTTGCTATTAATTTTTTCTTTGCGAAGCCAGTTGATATAATGCTGCGGCATCGAATTATTTTTGTAGGAAATCAAACGTTCTACAAAAAATTTCTCTGAAGTTTTGCAAAAAAATCACTAACGTCAAAGGTCTTCAAGGTCAAAGTTCAACTAAAAATAATTTTTTTTTTTTATTTTTGAACAAAAAACTATTATTTTTTACATAAGAATTTATTGTTTTTCGCCAAAAATATCTTATTTAAACTGTTTTATAACATCAGAGAAATAAGTTTTAAATATCCTGATAACCAGTAAATGTATATTACGATGTAAGTTAACCTTAATATATTAATAACCTTAATATAATTACAAGTTTTATTAGTAAAATGTAAATAATTTGATAAATTCTTATATATATCTTAATTAATTATTTCATAGTTACATGTGACTCATATTAATATTTGGATTCAGTGGTGTATAACATTGTTATCAAAGACATTTCTGATATTATAAATACATAAATAAAACTTATACAGTTTTAAAAATTAAAATTATAAATACTCCTAACTTAAAATTTCAATTTAATTGTTATTCACGATGGGTGACAATAAACATATGGACTTAAGAAAAAATATATTTTTAATCGGTACAACGATAGATACTATAAGTGATAAAAAATTAGCCACAAACAAAAGGAGATTTTGATTGGTTTCTTGACAAAGATGTCGATTATTTTATTAATTATGATTCCGTAAAATTTTTCGAAAGATTCAACATCGATACAGACTTTCTCCAATTGGATTTCAGGAAGTGGTCAGACCATCCAGATTATTTAAAAGGTTTCGAAATCGTTAAGCATTTGAAAGTGGTAAACGATTCTGCGGAACGAGCTGTTAAACTAACTGAAGAATATATTAATACTTTAGCTAAGAACGAAGATCAAAAACAATATGTCATTTAGATTGTAAGTGAATATAAAAAAAATTTCCAAATGCCACCAAAGAATGTCTAACAAAATAAAATATGATTTTTAATTTGTTTGAAAATTTATCAAATTATTTACATTTTAC